GGGGGAGGGGGAGGATGGGGATGATGGCGATAGTGATGATGGGGATGATGGGGATGATAGGGATGATGGGGATGATGGCGATAGTGATGATGGGGATGATGGGGATGAAGGGGATAGGGATGATGGGGATGATGGGATGATGGGGATAGGGATGATGGGGATGATGGGGATAGGGATGATGGGGATGATGGGGATGATGGGGATGATGGGGATAGGGATGATGGGGATGATGGGGATAGGGATGATGGGGATGATGGGGATGATGGGGATGGGCATGGCACAGCTGCTCCATCACATGTTCTGTATTGTGCTCTCTGTTGCTCCAGGGTCCTACAGAGCGTGGTCCTTCTGTCAGATAGTCAGTTGCATCTCTTCCTCCAAAGCCAGCTCTCAGTGCCTGAGATTGAAGCCTGTGTCCAGGGCCGAGGCTCCCTGACTGTGTCAGATGCCATTCTTTGCTATGCTATGTCAAATTGCGGCTGGGCCCAGGAAGAGAGGCAAAGCACCTCTCACCTGGCTAAAGGAGACCAGCTTAACAGGTAACTGTAGGACCTGTTTAGGACCTTGGGCCTGGGATCACTTACCAGTGACACATGGATGTGTCATGGACCTCAGTGGCATGCCTTTGTGTTAGGGAAAGGAATGCCACAGAATTGATAGCCTTGGAAAAGGCCTGGTTCTCTATTTTGGATGGGAAACTAGCATTCCTGCTGAGACTCAGGGAGAAAGAAGGGGCAGCCTTCTTTGGCTGCCTTTTTTCTTTTGTTTATGGCAGAGTCTCACTCTGTGGTCTGTACTGGCCTGGAGTTCACTGTGTACCAGGCCAGTGTTCAACTTTTGGTGATCTTTCTGCTTCAGACGTGAGCTCAGGGGTTTCAGGTGTGTATACAGTGCTCTGTCAGTTTTAGAATACTTGTTTCTTCTTCTTCTCCCTCCTCCTCTTTTCTCTCTCTCTCTCTCTCTCTCTCTCTCTCTCTCTCTCTCTCTCTCTCTCTCTGTTGTTGTTTCATTGTGTAGCCCTAGCTGTATAGACCTACTCATTATGTAGGCTACTCGCTATGTAGAATAAACTGGTCTCAAACTCAACAGAGATCTGCCTGCCTCCTGACTGCTGGGATTGAAGGTGTGCACTGCCATACCAGGCTCTTTTTAAAAATTGATTAATTAGTTAATTATTGTGACTCGGGGGTTGGGGGGGGAGTGAAGTTGTGGGCTTCACTTGCATTAGGTGTATGTTCTACCACCAAGCCACCTCATTAGCTCTTAACATGTTCCTATTCTAAATGAAGAAATGCTACCCCAATGAGCAATGGCTGTCCGTTCCCCCTAGTAACCACAGTCTACTTTCTGTCTGGATCTGCCTGTTCGGACATTTCAAACACATGGAGTCATATGGCAGGTGTATCTGGCTTTGGTTGTGAGCCTAGCCTTTAATGGCTGAGCCATCTCTCCAGCCCTTAAATCATATTTTATTTTATTTGAGTGTGTGTGTTTGTGCATTATGTGTAGTCATGGCATGTATGTGGAGGTCAGAGGACCACTTGTTGGGGTCAGTTCTCTCCTCCTGCCATGTGGGTCCCGGGGGTTGAAGTAGGTCATCAAGCTTGGCAGTGGGGGTCTTTTACCCACTAAGTCATTGTGCTGGCTCCAGCATTTTTTCAGCACTTCATTCCTTTTTGTGGCTGACTATTTCACTAAATGAAATTTATTTATCTATGCCTGTCTCTTCATCTGTTCTTTTCCTTCCTCTTTTCCTTCCAGTTGCTGCTTTCTTCCAAGATCAGGCAGGAGGAGCTCTCCTTCCCCACCTCCCAGTGAAGAGAAGGACCACTTAGAAACGTGGGCTCCAGTGATCGACTCTGAGGGCCCATCCTTAGAAAGTCCCATGCTGCCACCCAACTCTTCACCATCATGCTGTGATATTGCAAGACCCGATGAGGGACTCTCTGTGACCCAGCCTGTGAGAAGGACTGTGGGAGGGGACCATGCTGTGCCTTTGGATCCTGGTCAGCTAGACACAGTGTGGGGAAAGTGAACTGTGGCTGAGCCCTAGGTTCTCTTGGGTGGTGGAGAAGATGCAGGCCACAGTCGCATTCAGGTGGGACTGGGCACAGGGCAGGTGTAGGGGAAGTTGGTCTGTTTAGCATCTTCCCTCCACATCTACTCAGGTTTGCTGTGCAGAGGTTGGTTGTGGCTGCCTGCTATATCTCCTCCATGGGAATAAACACCACATGGGGGTTTCTTTGAGGTTGTGGCTGCCTGCTATATCTCCTCCATGGGAATAAACACCACATGGGTGTTTGTAAGTTAAGCACAGGGTCCAGAAGCTGTTGATTTTAAATAGAACTGTATTTACTTCCTCAGGAGCTGAGTTTCTTCAGGTGTTTGTTTAGACACAGGGCACTGCCATGGGTGAATGGTTTGGGGAACCTCTTCATGGCAGATTTATCTGCCGTATTGAATACTGTCCCAACAGAATGCTTCTGTTGTTATATTCCCATCTTGGCAGGCTGCAGTTTTTGTTGCAGTCCCTGGAGCATTTTGGTTGTGGGAGGCTGGCCTCTTACCTGTCTCCTTGTGTGGACAGGGTGGTGCTCCTTGCTTGTCAGTAACAGGCAGTGACATGACTCTTATTGCTGGAGTATCCAGTGTCTTCCAAGACCTTGGCAGGTTGAGTGGGGCCTGAGAGCTGTAGGCAAGCAGTTCAGGACCATCGAGGCCAAGTGGCTGGTTGCAGCCGGGGGAGGGGACAGTGCAGAGGTTTTGTTTTGGCAGAGGCATCTCTGGGCTGTTGTTTTCTGCTTCTAAAGCAGAGCTGGTGTTTCTGCAGGGGCAAAGCAGGCTCCTTTATGTTTTCTCTCTTAATAGCAACTCCCTGTCCCCAGGGCTTTAGCTGCCACAGTGCCCATTGCTGCATTGCAGGGAAGCCACATGCTCAATCCAGTGGGGGCACACAGGCTTTGTTTCTCATGGAAGTGAGGACTCTGGGGATGGAGATGAGGAACCACGTGGTTTTCTTCAGAGATTGAGCTCCTGCCCTCCTGCTGCTGAAACCCTGTCTGCAGGGGGTGGGGGGCTGGTAGCTGGAGTGCTAGGTGGGCTCTGCTGTGTTCACCTTGTTGTTGCTCTGCTCTTAGGTTTGTGTGTGCTTCCTCCCCTCTGGCCATCTGCCCGTCTGTGGGCTCTTTTACTACTAGCCTGTGTTGTGGGATTGTCATGGCATTTAGTTCAGAGTTGAGGGGTTTTGGCCTGAAATAAAATACAAGTATTTAAGACTGTTGTTGCAATTTGTGTCTAACAAGCTGTAGCAGGGAAGGAGGGAGTGAGAGCTGGCAGCAGTTACTTTCATAAATCATGAATTTATCAGCGTGGAAATAACACTCGCTGTAGAACTGTGTGCTGGAGATCTCCTGCATTGTGTGTGAGACTCAAGTTCACCGCTGCAGGAGGGGACTGTTTTCCACAGAGCCAGAATCCAGCTCTTCTCACAGTTCTGGGCATGAACCTTGTTAGGTATAATTTACCTGATGCTGCTTCCATCTTCGAAGCCTGTCTGAGGTGCCAGGTGCTAAAAGAGAAATAAAGTTTGTCAACAGGCAGATGCAAAGCCCTGGCTGGTGTTCATCCCTCCTTTCTGCCCACCTCCCCTGGGTCTCTCTTTTATATGATGCATCAGAGCGAAGCGAGGCTAGAAAACCTACAGAGGCAAATCCAAAATGTCAAAAGAAGTTCATTTAAAAGGGGGAAAAAACTCCATACACAACCCTCACAAAACCCGACAGATGCTAGGCTAATGGCATCCACTCTGCCGATTGGTGGGGATGGCTCATGAATATTAATGAGTCCAATGCTCCAAATGGTGCAGCTGTGAACCCAGCTGTGCCTGAAGCTCTCTGATCTCAAAACTTCCAGACAGGAGCCGGAGGTGGTCTGTGTCAATTCCCTACTCAGCCAAAAACCAGCAAGCTGGATTGGCCTTCTTCTGTTCTCCCCGCTCCTCCTGGAGTTGGTGCTAGGCAGCTAGCTCTGCCAGCAGGCTGGGCTGCTGGGACAGCAGGCGCTCTTCAGACATGGCTGTGATTTCTCAGACTCCCAGCTTTTTTAATGATCCATTAGCAGCAATGCGTACAACAGCCCCTCAGTTAATGTGAGGCCAGGCGCCGTCTCATCTCAGTCTTGTGCTGAGTCGAGTACTGGCTGGAGAAGATGTCCGAAGGAGAGCACTTTCCTAATAGCATGGGCCCATGTACCAGAAAAACAGCAACCATCGGTGAAAATTTCTTTTCGTCCAGGCGATGCTGGAGGCCTCCCTTGCATTTTTCTCTGTTCAGTGTGTGCTGAGGTCTAGCCACCACAGCTGGATGGCTTTTTCTGAGAGAGATGAGTCACTAGCTGTGGGGAGTGGCCGACTGAGTAGTCTTGTAGAACCAAAAGTGTTCTTTTCATTTTAATCTGAGGTTTGAGGCAAGTTTGGTGCCTGCTTTAGTCACAGCTACTTTTGTGACCCAAGTCTAGTCATCCCCTAAATCTGAGTTGTGGGAGGTTGGGGACCAGTGGAGAGTGACTGGAGGTTATTTGGTAGGGGACCAGTGGGGAGTGTCAGGAGGTTATTTGGTAGGGGCTCAATGAGGAGTGACTAGAGGTTATTCGATGGAAAAAGTGAAGGTGGGGAAATTCTGGGGCAAAAATACTTTCATATGAGCTGTTTGATTTGATCAGAGTCAGCGGGTAGACACACCTCATACTCCGTTTCTAGCTGAGTGTGAATTGTTTAAAAAAGGCAGTTTTTAAATGACTGAACAGGACCTGGAGGTGGGCTGTGTCATTTCTGTACCCAGTGTGTCTGATCTTTGTAGGAGGTACTTTCCAGGCTCTGTAGTACTAGGGTGACACACACCTAGAATTCCAGCACTTGAGAGAACAAGGTAAGATGGATTACTATGAGTTTAAGGCTAGCCTGGGCTACGGAGGGTGTTTCAGACCATCCTGGGCTGCAGTATGAAACTCAACAGCAGCAAACAAACCTCACACAGTCCTTAGTTTTCTGTCTGCTGGGTCTTAGGTCCCCACCACTGAATCCTAGATGACTCCTACCTTCTGGTAGCTTTGCTCAAAGGGCCATCTAATACCAGATCAGAGATTAAATTTGCATACCACAACTCATGCTTAGTATTTTTTTGAGATTAATTTATTTTACGTATGCAGGTGCTCTATCTGCATGTATAACTTTATGCCAGAAGAGGGCACCAGATCCCTCTAGAGACGGTTGTGAGCCACCATGTGGGTGCTGGGAATTGAACTTAAGACCTCTGGAAGAACAGGCAGTGCTCTTAACCTCTGAGCCATCTCTCCAGCCCTATTGCTTAGTACTCTTAACAAATTAAGGGGGCTATAAACAGGTCACAGGTTGCAGGGGTACTTTCAAGGGTAGAAATAGGATCAGAGCAGCCCCTGGCCTGACTCACCAAAGCTGCAGGAATGTTGGGTTGAGGGGGGGTACCTGACCTTTGTGGATGCAAGAGCAGCACACTGCTAAGACTGGGAAGCCAAGCAGACAGGCACTGTGGCGGAGCACTTCTTTCTTCAAGTGTGGCAGTGGGCAGCCCTTCCAGAAGGGAGTCACTTCTGTAGAAGCCACAGAGCCTGGCTCACCGAATCTTTTGGACTTTCTAGTCTCTTTACCACTTACTTTCTTCCTGAATGGTCTCCTCAGCCCACTTTGTGAGCCCCTACCCTTCCTTCCCCACCCAGCTCCTTACTAAGGAACTGTTTTGGAAATGGCTGCAAAGACCAAGTGTGCGTTGCCCTTCCAGCTGAGCCAGTCCTGACATTGTAAGAGAAATCCTGTCAGCAGAGAGAGACAGTTCTGCCCTGGCTGTGACTAGATGTGAAGGGGGAAAGCTGTCGATCTCAAATCTCCAGGTACCATCAACACACAACCTCTGCTTGAAAGGCTAGCAAGAGGCACACTCCTTAGGAGCCGAGTGCTCCTGACTCAGTGAGTGGTAACTGATGTTGCTTCCCTCCGGTTCAGGGCAGAGGGGTCTACTTCCTCAAGCAAAGGGGAGGACCCCAGCACTTCACAGTAGTGAGTATAGACATGCTAGGGATGTGGGAAGTTGGTAAGGGATTTTCTGAGAGCGGCTGTGATCTTGGATCATGGGAAACCACCAGCCAGAATTTCAAGTCTTTCCTGCACTTTCAAACTCTTTCTCTCCCATTCCATTAATCCAAAGGGGCCAGCTTGTCAGTTCCTTCCACAAATACAGTAAGCTTGTGTGTCTCTTCCCTTAGTGGCTGAGTTGGTGGGGGACCCTGGCTCACCAGCAGCCTGACCTGGGGCCCTCCGGCAGAAGGTCTAGTATAGTGAGGGCCCCAGGCAGTCTGCTGGAGGCAGTGCAACCTGCCTGTTGTAAGCTACAAGACTTAGATATATTCTGCCAATTAGGGCACATCTGTTCGAAATGTTGAAAGGCGGGCACTGTCTCTTTAAGAGCCATCCCACTCCTCTCCTTGAGTGATGAGGGCTGAGAGCACAGGGGAGTCGGATGCTGATTAAACAGTCCTACTGCCGGGCTCTGTTAGAAAATTACTGTAATTATGATCTAGTCCCAGCAGAGGGATGAGTTCCAATCCTGCTAATAACCCGTCCAGGTGCCTTGGCTTCAGTGCCCAGGGGAGGCAGCATCGACAGGGCTCTGGCTGGCATCACAGCAGGCCTGGCCCTCCTGTGTGGCTGCACAGACAAACACAAAGACACCAGAGCCTCGTCCTGTCTCTGCCTCCTGAGGGGTGGTGGATTTTGGTTGTGTTTTGTTTTTGGTTTTTATTTTTTCTTTGTTTTGTGTTTTGGTTCTTGACAGAGCTCCTGGGAGTCATTTTGTACTAGAAAACTTTCCTCTAAGCTAACAGTGACGACCAGGAAAATCACAACCTCGAGACAACAGTCTGTCCTGAGTGTCCCTCTTCTGTCATGGGCTGCATTCAGTACTCCCAAGTGCAATGTGCCACAGCAGCCTTACCCACTTCAGGGGGATGTGAAGGGATCGGGGCTACATGTGACCTTTTGAGCAGATAAAATACTGTTGGGTTTCTGCCTCTTGCTCTGAAGTGGCTCTGAAGTGAAGTATTGCTATTCACACGGTCCCAGTCAAGCGTTCTTCTGCTGCCCTTCCCAGTTCCTGCCATGGGAGATGGAGACGAGGGAAAGTAGCCACAGTCCAGCATCTCTGGACCCTCGAGGCTGCCCCTGTCAGTCTGACCCTGTTCATTTTCCCAGTACAGCTCTACAGCAGTGCAGGTCTGATGAGCTCACCATGGAGCAGGGGCTGCCTGCCTGGAGCTTCTGTTCCCAAGTACCTGTGCATTTGTGTGCTGTGTCTTCCCAGCCCTGCCAGAAACCACTTCTGTGATCATCGTCTAGTGGCTAAAGCAGAAACTTAGAAGAAAGCAGCACTTGGCTCCAAGCATGCGCCAAATACCCTGAGGCTGTTCTCAAGAGGGAGTGGTGGTAGGATTTTGCCTCAGGAGACATTTGGCAATGTCTGGAAGCATTTTGTCGTAAGTGAGTGTGTGTGGGGCGGTGGAGAGTGAGATGATAGTGATGACCAAGGATGCCGTTGAATGTCCCATGGAGCTCTCAACAAAATAGAATTTTCTGACCTATGGCCAGATGTGGTAGTTCACTCATGATCCCAACACTTAGGAGACTAACGCAGGATGATTACTGTGTGTATGAAGTCATCTTGGGCTACGTAATAAATCCCAGAGCAGTGTGGACTACAGACTGAAATGCCATTTCTAACAAAAACAAAGGGATGTGGTTCGGTTGGTACAGTGTTTGCCTAACATGTAGGAAGCCCTGGGGTTCAGTCCCCAGCTCTGCATATATGCCTGGGAACTAAGGCAAGGGTTAAAAAGTCAAGGGCATCTTCAGCCACAGAGGGAATTTGACATCAGCATGGATTACATGAGACCAGGCTCAACAAAACAAAATTTTCTGGCCCAGCATGCCAAGGTTGAGAAACACTAATCTGTTGAAGAAATGACATCAAGTGTCCAAATGCCAGATGCCTTCCAAGAGGGTGCCAGTCCTGGGAGCAATGGTGTGTGCGTTCTACCTTGGAATTCACAGTACAGTGAGGCCCGTGGCCAGTGGGTGAAAGGGAAATGTTTGTGGCCTGTTTTCTGTTCCATTATGGCCAGCTGCTCACCATCAGGTGGAGAGCGTCTGCAGTGGCAAGCAGATGCCCTCTTTGAGGACTAGCACTAGAAA